CTAAGGAGCTTAGGCTTTTCGCCAAAGAGTTTGGACAAGGAGTTAGACAGCAAAGGGTGAGGGGTAAAACCCAAGAAAAAGCTGGAACACTACCCTTGGCTATTTCGATGATGAAAAGAATCATTGCGCCCCAAACTCAAAATTTAAATACGCTTGAAGAACTCTAGGGCTTTGACGAAGATCGTGGTGATCACCTGATTACCGGGACGTCTGTGGAAAACTACAGAGTTGTTTTTTCAAAAGGAGAAGTTGTCGCTCTTAAGCATAACTACAGGACGTATCTGGAGTCTTTTTTTTCTAGCAATTGTCTGTGAAGATCTTCACAGCAGGAATGATTGTTTCTCGAAGGAAAAACTCAAAATAAATTGGCTTGAGCAATCAGAGGAAGATCCTTTAGTCTACAATGAAGGAAACTTTGACGATCAAAATTCACTAAAATGCATCTTGGACCGGGTCTCTGTTGATCAGGAGGCTGAACAATTTACTTAAAGAAGGAACGAAGAACGGCGTCTCAAGAATTTGGCTAACGGGCTTCTAGACAACGAACAGAGGACAGTGACGATGAGAGCCAGGAAGAGGAGAGTCTTGCAGAAGTGGAAGACGAAGAGCCTAGTAGCAGAACCCGGTTTGAGGCTGGACGCAGTAGATCTGGGAGAAGAATCACCAGATATCTTCTTTAAATACACGTTTTGCATTTTCAGCCACAATTTCACTATTGCGATGAAATGGAAAAGCTTAAAGTAACAATAATGAGGCTACAAGTGGCAGAAATGAAATATTAGCATGCAAGAGTCTTGTAAACACTTTTAGTACTCGAGTGGAGTCTTTGTTTAATGTTTAACACCGGTCTCATTTTCTTGATAAGCCTTTCCCAAAGTCCTTCGTGGTTGTAGGTGGCCTTGTGCTCTCTTACCTTGTGCTTCGCGCTCGGTCTTGGCTCGCATTATGTATATTTTTCTCCTTGCCAGCTCACCTTTCGAAGCTCGACTTGAAGGCAATTCTATTCGTTAATGAACAAAGTCTCAAAAATCAAACAATCGAACTTCAATCCACCTTTCTTCATAATTGAAAATTCGATGGTATAAGTATCGTGCCTTATATCGATTCTTTTGCCATGTATTTAGGTGCAGTCCTTTTATTCATTTCTTACGTGACGTTAACTTGAAGCCGTCGAAACGTGGAGATTTAGTTCTTTTTTATTTAATTGTCGTCTATATCTCGTCTATTTTTATCGCATTGTTTTATAGAGTGTTTTCTATTGCTCATAGCATCATACGAGTTTTACATTTCTCAACCAAGAAAGTTTTGAAAAAGTCAACTAATCAGGTAATGGGTAATGTCTGTAATGGACCGAGCATTTTTCAAAAGCAAGCAGCAGAATTCAAATAATAATCCTTATTATTAAAAACTGAATCATTGGATAATGAAATTCTAGCATTTTGATTGGCTTAGCCGTTATGGTATATGAGCTATTATACCATGCTCTCCATATATGGTCGGTGTACGCGTCAGTTTAAAATAGGCCATTTGCACCAAGAGGTCATGTGACAGTTTTTATGAAAATGAAAGCTATGTGATTTTGCCTTCGAAAAACGCCTAGTGGGTCATATCTTAAACAGAATAATAGTGATTTGGTTCTTCAAACGCGCACCATTTTCTTAAAATGACTAAGTTTCTCGCTGGTCACGTGACCAAAATGTGATTTTTGAAATTATGAATTACTTCTTTCTGAACACAAGCCGGCTTTGCACTTAAACTTCAAGAAGGATGTTGAAAAAATCATGTGGTAACGTTTACAGCACATCTGAGCGTAACTATAAAACGTTTTTATGAAAATGAAAGCTATGTGATTTTGCCTTCGAAAAACGCCTAGTGGGTCATATCTTAAACAGAATAATAGTGATTTGGTTTTTCAACCCGCACCATTTTCTTAAAATGAGTAAGTTCCTCGCTGGTCACGTGACCAAAATGTGATTTTTGAAATTATGAATTACTTCTTTCTGAACACAAGCCGGCTTTGCACTTAAACTTCAAGGAGGATGTTGAAAAAATGATGTGGTAACGTTTACAGCACATCTGAGCGTAACTATAAAACGTTTAACAAGATACAAGCAAAAAGTAGTTTTGGCGGCCATATTGGAGGGCAAGAGAATGCCCTCCAACATGGCGGCCAATACAAATCATACTGCTTTGTTGAAAAATCAAAGTGCCATAAAATATCTTCCTTAAATGCGTTTCCTCTCAAATTTCGGATGTAAGATAATTTTCATGTGCTCTGTCAATTTTTGGCACCAACAAGATTCCAACTCATTGTTTAAGGAAGCATTGGTCACGTGTCCTCTTAGTGCAAGTGACCTATTGGAAGCTAGCTGAGATTTTTTTCGCGAAGGATAGAACGGCGCCCGAAGCAAATCGTTCTAATTCATTTCTTAGAATACTCGAAATGCAATTCCATCGAAAGAAAAAAGACAAAAACAAACAAAAAAGCTACAAGAGCTTGTTTGAAAGTTTGTCGAAAAACACATGGAACTAAATTACCTTGACCAGCTACGAAAGAAGACAAGTGTTGTTTCTTCATGATCGCGAAGCCATTCGCCGATCGAGTCACTCGCCGATAGATAACCGTGGCTTGTTTATCCGACATCAAGAATATAAATCACAAGTAACCAGCTACAAATACAGGTTATGCAGCCATTCACTAGAGCAATTGAGGCGGCAGTATAGCTTCTTTTCTCGTTCAGCAAAATCAGCTTGTGGCTTCAAACAACTTCATAACAAGCGACCGAGGTAATAGTTTTTCTCCGTTGTTCTTACTTTTATAACTGCACCGAAAATCCAAATTCACAGTAATTTCGACGGCTGTCACTTAAAAATTCTTTTTCTTCACATTATCTTCGAGGTTTTTTCAGCTATTCTGCTATGTAAAATCCTAGAATCCCGATGAGTTTTTAAAAAACTAATGTTCATCGCTACAATGTTTTGATTTTCCATTCATGCAGTCTAGGCGAGTCCGTTCGCGCGTTGACAGTTTTGATAGAAGTCCCTTGTCTTTTCCGGTTTGTTCTAGTCAGGGAGATTCAACGAGATTTTGTGGGCGTTTTTAATAAAACGATTATTCCACTCGCGCTTGTTGGATATGAGATGATTATAGCCAACTCGGCGCTACGCGCCTCGTTGGCTATCTATCATCTAATATCCAACGCGCCCTCGTGGAATAATTGTTAAATACATCATGGAAGACAAGATGAGAACGTGATTCAGAATGAACAAATAAACATCTACTTGAGGTAAATACGCCTAGTTGTTATTAATGAATGATAATCGACGTCGGGGAAACATAACTTGATCACATCTCTCCATGGGATCATAAAATCTACGTGGGATCAGGGATCAAATTTTGCTACATTCTGGGATCAGGGATCAAAATTTGGAGCTAAAAATGGGGATCAGCGATGAAAAAATATACCTGGTTACGACCCTGTGAGTGGGCTGTATGTGCAGTAGAAAAGAGATCTGGTGATGAGGTCACGGTTTGTCACAGAATACAGACTTGACAGCAAAGGCGTGGTGTTTATTATTGCAAAGGTATAAAACCCCGACGACGTGCTGGCCTTACAATCCACATATTTAAGACAAACATGAAAGCATGGTCCAGCCATTGACATCATACAGCTGAATAAATTGTAACGCATTTTATCTCCATTACAAATATTTTCATTACACTGCCAACAGTCCAAACAGATTCTCCCGTCAGATTACGTAACGTTCAGTCGAAGTGTACATCGCAACCGAACAAAAGTGCGACGCCACTAGACTCAAAGGGAAGACTGAAAGCTCCTTCAAGTAGCAGGGTTTCTGACCACTAATTGTCGATAGCAAAGAAATCGCTTTCCATTTTACAAAACGGGCTAGTAAGAAGTACTCAGTGCAATCTTGTCCCGCAACAAAAAGGAAATTAAAGACTCTGGCGGACGCGTGTCGTGATTCGAATTTGCCGAGATTTTAAATTTAAACTGACTTAATTTCGCAAAGATTTTTCGTGCTACAGCACTCTACGAAATTGTCAATTCTCAGCATAAAACTGGGACAGAAGAAGATCGATACACTTCAGGTAAGCTTGTTGTGACCAGGGAAATTTTCTGCCGTGGACAACACTTTTCATGATAGTTCTCTTTCCATAGTCCAGTCCTTTTTCGATCCGGATAGCTGCTTAAAATGATCGATACCAAAAAATTTATGCCAGTGAAGGATATATCAAATATGCACGTTTACCTGCTTACAACCGTCGCTTGTTGCGGTTAAATAAGACGCTTGACTTGCGCAGCCTCCCGTTCCGGGCGGGATTGGATCGGCCGCAGACCGTTCGGCTGATATAAATTTTTGTTGCAAGAAAAATATTAAACATCTCAAAAATGTTCTTGATAAAGGGTAGTTCAGAGATAACGTTATTTGCACAATGTCAGTTGTTTATTATCTTGTTTCTGCCGAACACTAATATCTGATTGCTGTTTCAGCTGTCGTCCTCGTATTCATGCGTATTTTCGTGTAGTTCGTTCGTCAAACAAAAACGTTTTCGTTGATAGACTATCTAGTGTTGTAATTTCCTCGGTTATTGATTTTTTTTCTTTCTTAAGTAGACTGCATTTAAACGATTCCACTCGATGCGTAAAAGTTCGGGCGTCTAAATTATAGGTTTCGTCGAAATATGTTCCTCGCTTATCTTATCTTTGTGTTTTTTCCGCCATCTTGGAGCCTCTGTCAAAATGACACCAAGTGGGGAGGTGTAAGAATTTGATTGCCTTAACTTGATCTTAAAATCCATTTTAAATATTTTCTTTTGGGAGAATGCATTTCATCGAAGATAAAAATGAATTTCTATGTTATCAAAAACGCTTTTCTCTGTTCTTCTGGGATTTTTATTGGGACAAAATAATGTTATTTATACCTTACCCTACCATACAGGGTATTTGTTGTTCGTTTGAAATAACGAGTGTTTGGGATCTTCGGGTGGGCGATCGCGTGTCGGCTCTGTTCAAGGAATATTCGCCCATATTCACAAAAAAGGATATATCCTTTTGAATATTTTTTGCATCATTTTATTTAAAAGAGACTGATTTAAACACTATCTGAAAGTCGAGAGCATCCTGTAAGAGTCTTTCACAAAGAGCCGTTGACGAATGTTCCCGCCAAATGGGACGCCATTTTGTTTTGTCATCGTTTGTGCGGTGCATGACGATTGAATCATAGCATGATGCATGCTTGAAATGGCCATTACCATTAGATAAAAGTGAAATATTCTCATTGGCGTCGAGTTTGTGATAAGGTGTGCCTTTGAATCGCTTTCCAGTGCTAGTATTCTGGCAAACCTTCTCGAGCTTCGGCGCCATATTGTTCTCTCGCGTGCTCCATGATGTCGGGAACCAGCGAGGCTGAAGCGACTCCTGGAAAGCAAAATGGTGAAACGTTTAACGAGGAAATGAAGGTAAGAATGATGGAACGAGTTTTAAAATTTAAAGTTAAAACGTATGATCTTATAAGTCAAAGATGGAATCTTGGATAGGAAGCACCGCGATCATCGGATCGCAAAAGCAAATTTCTCCATGTGGTTTTCTGAACATTATAACATTTCAATGCACGCCAGGGGCGTAGCTAGCTTTTCCATTATATGTAGGCCAGGCTGACTTTCATTTCCACATATCTGGAAAATTGCACGCATGATTAGTACGCACTGACCTCACCAACACTTTGACCTCTGAAGCGTTTTAGTTCACCCCAACAGCGCACAGTTTATTACAAGCTGCAGAGTGATCAAACCAAAAATTTGTAGGCCCGGGCCTACAGGTCTATGGGCTGGCTCTGCCCCTGTACGCTAAAAAGGTAGAATACGCACATTTTGATATTTATTTGGGATTTAGTTGTGTGCACAGATACATTCTTATGGAATACTTTCTACCCCTCCACCACAACTTAACATTCATTCTCTACCTTCACCCCTATGGATGTCTGTTACAGGTCAAATTAATTTTTATTGGGCTTCCCGTGAGGGCAACGACCAATGAACAAAAAAATGAGAAGTGAATTTTTTTATGTCAAAAAAAGACAAAATAGCGGACAGAACTCACAGAAGGCTTTAGGTATCCCATTGCCCTTTCAATGGGGCCAATTACGGTTGGTGTGATATCTTAACGATTTTACCGACCCAATACATGCAAATGTAAATGTAAATTTTGCGGGAAGGGGGCCTGGTCAGGGTTGTCTGGTGAATAGGTTTGGAAGTTGATTTGGAATGAACGCAAAATTATTGCGTTGAGTTATTGACCCTTTATCTATGCTGAATGATTATGTAAATACGGTATTCAATGTTGTTGTTAGCCTGTGCTAATGCCCTCCCATGGTCCACACGGGAAAAAGTTTAACTTGTTGCAATTCTCTCCCTGCGTGTAACAAGTCTTTCATTACAAGAAAGGAATATGCTATTTGTAGATTGCTCCGTTAAATAGAAACACATTCCCTTGGATAGTTAGAAGGGCTTAAAATGAAATTAAATAACATAATGAAAAAGAATAAATAATTTAATTTAATTTTAAAAAAGGAGGGTTTGTGAGTGTATAAAAGGCTCTGTATTTAATGGATTATACTTAGTGTTTGGAAGTAACAGTCTGTTAAAATGATTAAAAGGAGTGTTAATGAGAAAAAAAGTAGCAAATACGAAAGGATACATCTATTGTGATCCATGGGCACTTTCCATTCAACCTACAATTCCCAACCATTCCATTGGGCTAGTGGTTGGGCTAGCAGAAGGATTATAATTATAGCCTTCCCCAATGCCTTAAAAGGAATGAGCAAATGCCCCAGCCTTGAAATTTGCTAATAATCTCTGTCACATCTATGCATTGTATAAATGATTGAAACAAACAAACAGAAAAAAATGCACTTCATTTTTCAAGTATCAATGTATTAAGCACAGGAGCACTAGTAAGGGCACTGTTTTTACATCTCCAACTTGGCAACCCTACTGCCATTTTCACATGGTCATTCGGGCAACACAAATTCTAGCCGTTTGTAGGGCAAAGGTAGTTACGGACTGAACTTCTTCATCAGACATGGTCTGGTCTCAAGAATCTAACCCCAGGACCTCCCACTCTGCAGGCCAGCAGTCTACCAATTAAGCCAGCCTTATTAACAGGAAAAATAACCAGTATTTTGCATCTGAACTAAAACTTAACAGGAACAAAATCAATAATTAAAATGTAGAACATAGTTACTTTAGAGTTTTCGTAGTGTTTCAGTTGAATGCATTATATATTTTTGATTTGTAGGATTATGCAAAGAGTACAATGAATGAATTATTGGGAATGTTTGGTTATGAAGAAGAAATTACACGTGAAGCTGTAGAAGAACTGCAGATCAAGTTACTTCCAGAAGAAGATGAACAACTGAGGACCAATGTATTTAATAATACTGCAGAGTTAGAGAAGAACCATCCTGAAGTCCCCGCCGCTGAGGAAACCCCATATGTGGTACAGATTCCAGGTAGGTACACCCTAAACTTAAGCCTGGGAAAACAGCCCACATTTTGTGATGTCACAACTGGTTTCCCCACAAAATAATGTCTGAGTAACAAGCGCAGAAATTCCATGCTGATGACATGTCACTTCCAAGGTCTGGATAGTGCTATTGACTGGTCTTGCTGTGAGGGAATTTTGCTTCAACCAATCAGAAGTACTACACATCATCAGTATGGAATTTCTGCACTCATTTCTCAGATGTCATTTGGCAGGGAATTTGCTGGTGGCATTGCAAAATGTCAGCTGTTTTGTCAGGCTACTAAACTCAAACTTTAAAATGAGTTCTCATGCTCTCAAGTTTCAAAATGTGAAATCTGTGTTGCAGTAATGTGACCTCCATGCAACAAGCTCAAGTTGACATGTATGAATTTGATATTTCTGGCAAATTAGAATGCATTTTCAGGGCACGAAATTGCACCTAATAGTGATGCCAATGCACCCCAATTTTTTGAATTGTCAACTGGAATTTTTGAGAGGTAAAGGTCTTTATTTTATGTCGGTAACTCGTAATAATACTTAAATGGACTTAACTGAGGCCAAAGGTTCACTCATTTTAACCCCTCTCTGCACCAGTGCTCTTTTTTACACATATTTTAGCTACTTAAAGCTACACAAAAAGGAAAGAAGTCAAAAGAAGAATTTGAGATCACACCTGGGAATCAAACTCAGAACCTCTTGCACAGAAGCCGACTTTGCTTATCCTTGCTCTTTCATCATGCCTTCATGGAGGACGTCTTTGTTTTAAGATGTGTTGAGATAAATCTGTAGCAGTGATGGAAATCCAAACATCCTTAGTGTTCACTTGGTTCACACTCCACCTAGAAAGTCTGTTTAATCTTGTAATTCAAGCTCTCTGTGTTTTGATCCTTTTAATGTTCCCTAATCTTACTTGGAGACATTTCCTGAGCATCATTTAGGATGAAAATGTATCAATACTGAAGGTTTCAATGCTTAAAAATAACAGAGTAAAACCACAAGCAGAAGGCAAACCATTGAATTATTGACAAATGTGACTGCAAGCAGGACTCAAATTCAGGACTCTCCTTTCAGGAATTCTGCCTTAGATCAGCTACAAATGATACTGCTAATGAATTAATTTAGTGTGAATGTTGATGGCATTCAAATCCCTCTTTCTGGCCTCAGTTGCTCAAGACATGGATAATTTACGCAATATTGGTTTCCCAATACTTATCCACTGGATAGTAATTTATTTGGTGGATAGCGCTATCCAACATTTTCACAAAATCTTACTTGTTTTTTGAAGGTACTGAGAATGACAACGTTGCAAGGGTGTTACCTTCTTCAGCTGTGAATAATGCAGTAAGTCAACAGTATTATAGCTGATTCAGTAAGGTTGGGCATTAGGAAGCTACAGTATTGCATTGTTCTGTATACCCAAATGCCCAATTTCCAATTCCCAATTGCTTAAAGCAGCCTTTATTGAATCAGCTTTATGGGCATCTTAGTACTGATTAGAAGATGCTTTATTACCATTTTATAGCATAAGAGATCAGCAGATTTATCTAAATAATGCATTCATGTAACCATTTTTGTGATGTGCTTTCCTATACATTCGTGAATTTAAAAATCTGGAAGCAATACAACATTCTCAGTCCATTATTGTATTATAGTACTCCTTTTTCTAGCAATCAATAGTTTATGTCTGACAGCTTACCATGGTTCAAAATAAAATCACAGCTTTCAACCTGAATCTATAGGCTTTTTTTGTCAAGGTTTAATATTTTTTTCTCGGCTGTCAATAATGAATGAGCACGTCCCGTCAATAGTCAACAGTGTGTTTTATTTCGTTAGTTAAAGGAATCAAATGTTCAATGCACAGAAAACAATATCATGCAATTCATGAAAACATGTTCATAGAACTGATGTTTGGGTAATCAATATCAATAATTATCAGTATGACAGATTTGGAAGGTAAAAATGTTTGGATCACATACTTAGATGAAAACTGATTTCCAGAAATACACTTCGTTGCACTTCTTCACTCTCAAACCAGGGTGGAGCACAAACATGGGAAATCCCTTTTGTCAAGCAATATGAATACAAAACTGACTTTAATTTGAAAGAGTGAAAAGGTTTCACAAACGGTACTAAACAAGTTTTTGTGCAAAAATACACTTTAAGTCTTGATTACACATTGTGCAGAAACATAAAGGTGGTAACACAACAGTTTGTCCAGACAAACTTGCATGTTTCATGCTTGAATAAATGCGTAAAAGAATAAATTAGTTGTTCACAGTGAACATGAATTCTCCTTTTCAACTTTTGCAGCATGTTTTAAATTTCCAAACCTTATTCTCCTCTTTCTGCTCATTTTAAAACATTTCCAAAAAGTTTTTCAAATGTTTTGTTGCTGCTTTATTGTCTGATATGAAATGTTTACTACAACATTACCGCAACTTCGATTTCAGTTGGCCGATCAAAGCGGTGAAAGTCACTGGCAAGTGTGGTCAAAGTGTCAGCTGCTATTTTGAACCCTGGTTACCAATAGGCAATTTTTTTAAAAAAAAGTTCTGCTTAAAGCATTGGTCGGGTTTGATAAAGTATCAGAGTTGTAAGGACAAGATAATAATATTAGATGCTGAGGGGATTAAGAGGATGAATGAGGGATTTCAAGGAGTTTAAGGTTAAAAACGTTTCATTTGGCTCAAAGTGGGCATAGAAATGCACTGTATTTATCTTTTTATGTGTTTGTCTTAGGCCAGTCCAGTACAGCCCCAACCCAAGACTGCTGTGAACCCAAGTGTTCCAAGTGAGACAAACAAGCCAGGGACAGCACTGGTAAGTTCTTAATATTCCTTTTAACAGGTATACCTGGAAATATCAAACTTCTCTCTTTCTGTCCTTATGCTTTTCTTGGTATATCCTTGCAAACCACTGGAATGTCATTGTTAATTGTGTGTGAGATACTGGAATGTTATTGTTGAAATTATGTTCTTATAACCACCACTAACAGGCCAATGGATTTTCTGTGGTTCTAGATAGGATTCCTATTGCTCAAACAAATTTATACTACATTGTGAGGTTTTGTGTAAATATCATGTATGCTGTGTTAAATTAATTCTCTGAACTTTCTCATTCCTGCAGCACCTCAAATGAAAATTCAGGAAAAAAATGGCCTGGTTTTTATTAAATATTTTATTATGCAAAAATTCATGTCCCAGAATGAAATGAAATGTATATCTCATACCAATATTTTATTTGAATGGTCACAATATAACATTGATCCATATTCAAGGCACACACAAGTGCATCAGTTGTCTCTATGCTGGCTCTGTCCCTGACATCTCACGTCATTAGAACAAAGGCTTTCTGTAAGAGCCAGGAGGCTGATTCAGCAACAGAAAGGGAATGTCAGTTGACAACAGGAAACCTTTCGGAAAGGACTGAATGTGACTTCAGGTGCCCAATTAAGTGCTACTCTTCTTTGGTAAAGCCTGTTGTTTGATTTGTGCTCACCGTCGTCAATTGATGCTCCTGTTCTGTTGCTAAATCAGCCCATTATTATTTGCATAGTACTGCACTGTACACGTACTTTCTACACTGTAGTATGTCTCGTGGTAACGTGGTAAGTCAAACTTGCCAAACTTAAAAGCTGGTTGTAGGTTTGATTTATACAAGATTTGTATTGTAGGCTGGTAAACTATTACTTTACACTGTAACAACCTTGTACAGTGTTAAAAAAAAAATAACCGTTACAGTACTTTGTGCCTGGCAAACCATATATGGTAATTGTGGTAAGCTACACCTTTAAGAGGTAGCGTGGAAGAAATGGCCTTATATGTCTTTGTTGAATATTGCAAGCAACCAATAATACAATGATGTAGCGTCAAAATTGTGGTTTTCACTTAGTTACAGTGTATGTTTGATTTGGACTGTTGTTCGCAAAGCTTCATCAATTAAAAGTTTAGCAATGTTATGGAATGTTGAATGTAACGTATTGTCTGGCCTTTGGCTTTCATTCTTTTTTTTCTTGGCTTTTTCGGTAAAAATTGCTTTTTGAGCTTAGAATGTAAGGCCATCACTTCCATCTGCCCTGTGACTCTTAGAGATAAGCACAAGGGCAGAGGTTTCATTTTTTTAAAGAAAAACATTTGCCTCTATCAGTGAAAGACAAAACAAACTGTGGCAAAAAATGTAGTTTCAAATTTGTAGAAGGATTCCTTTGGTGGGCTTAGGGCTTTCAATAGCTGAATGCAAGTTAAGGTGTCTCTTACATGTCTTGCCGTTTACATGAATGTGAGAAAAATACATTGAAGCATATTCAAATTTCTAAAACTGTGTAGCTTACTTGTATAATCATCACATCTGATTCTTTTGCCATACATGGTTTGTTTTGCTTTGCTGTGATAAGACATGATAATATTGTGACATCATGGCCTTTTGAAAGTTGGCAATGTTTTGGGTTGCAGCTGTGTCTGGTTTTGCTATAAGACAAGATGAAATACAGCCCTTCTTGTACGTTAACTTCACTTTAAAAATGTTCGGGCATTTTGGTGCTTACTACTGTGTACTTGCAGTTTTTAAGTACTACACCATTACTTGCTTCTCTCAGACAATGTCGTAGACCAAAATTGGCCACAGCTGCAATCAGTAATTGAAACCTCTGTTCCTCTTCTCAGGCTCCTCATTTCCTTGCCGAGCCCCCTAATGTCAAAGGTGTGTATTGCGTGGTGGCTAACCTTCCAGTCGTTAACAGCGGCTGCAAGACAAACATGACATTTAAGTTCTGGAATTGTATCATGTGTTCCGAGTACTTTGTGCAGAAACCAGAAGTGGTTTTCCGTGTTGAACATCCTCATTTGTTCGGGAGTCATCCTGCATGGCTTTACCAGGCAGCAGTGTGTCAGAAATGTCACCAGAGTCTAAAATCATCCAAGAATGTTACTTTGACAGCGTCTGCTTCTCAAGATGTTACTTCGGCATTTTGTGGAGTAAATGCTGCTTGTATTGATCAGGAGAATGGAACATCTTTATCTGCACAAGTCATGGTCACAAAAAGTGGATCTCACGCCCCTGAATCTGATGTTGGTGTCTCCATGCCAAACAGTCTTGAAAGTACATCTAGCATTGAGGTACCATCCACTGCAACAACAACCGACAAGGATGATACTAAAAATGTAACACGGGTTTTCTTTGATTGTTATATTTGCTCAAAGCCTGTGTATAAAAACTCGCGGCATGGGAAAATGCGAAGAAGCAAGTATCCCACACTGTTTAGTAATTTACCTGAAAGTGTTGGTTACCAAAGGGTATGTTTTACTTGTTCTGAAAGACTTACACGTCAGAGAGACAGATATGTACATGCTGGTATTGCCGAAGAGGCCAGAGATTATGCTGCACACATAAAGATATGGACAGGCAAAGATTTCACCAGTAAACTTTCTTCACCAACTACTAAAAACAGTGATTGTTCAACGTGTTTTGTGTGCGAGAAATACATCCCACCAAATGTCAATCAAGAAGTGAAGACATTAAACAGAACCAGATTCCCATCACTCTTTTCAGCAGTTCCAGGTCAGATCATCAAGCTGTTGATTTGTGATTCTTGCCACAGGAAACTCTTGAAGGTCAAGAGCAGATTTGACGAGAATAACACAGTTGAAGAGGAGCGGGATTATTGGGTCTACATCAATAGCTGGAGAGACCGAAAAGGATTAGAAAATCATCTGTACAGTACTCATTATATTATATAATGGAATGTAAAGCTCTTCCTTCAAAAGAACCTTCTACATTTATATGCATTATGTTAGGACAAAATTTAATAGATTACATTAATTTATTGTATTGTTAGTCATATGGCAGGCCATTTAAAAAAAGATAATTTATGTTTTAATTCTGTGAGTGCTGAAAAAGAAGAAGCAGTTGCTATATCCTAACACTGAGGTAATTTCTTAAAAAAAAAAAAAAGATTTTTAATTATGAAGTGTGTCACACTCAAAACATAAGGTTTCAACTGTAGTTACAATTAATATTATTGATTTTACAATGTAACTTATCAGGTCAAGTAAGAAATACCATCATGTTAGTAAATTCTTTTCTCAGTCTGTTCTTTAAGTAAAGGACTGAGTTTGTTTCTGTTAAGTTTTTTGTTCTGGCTGAGACAAGTTGGAGAAAAAGTAAGTTCTTTTAGTTACACTGAGTATGGACTAAGAACTGGATGTGCAAAAGAACATGAGCAGGCTATACAGTGGGTTTTTTATCAGTTAATAATATTTTTGATCTGTATAATGTGTCTTAGTTATTAGAAACAATGGTTGCGATTAAATCAAAAAACTGATAGCTAGTGTTCATTGGGGTATGCAAAGTTTGTACATTTGTTTGTATGGAATACAGAAAAGGTATAGTAATGGGCATTTCCTTTTTCAACATGACCCCAAAAATGTTCTTGCTGGAGGTACAAGATATTCTGAAAAATATTTTGCAGAATAGTAGCATTAAAAGTAATATAATTGTTGCACTTTTCCCTACTGTAATATTTGCAAAAAACATTCAAGGGTACATCTGTTCATTCCAAAAGGTACATAGAGGGGACAGCAGTAATTTTGCTTCCACTTTTGCCAGTCAGGTGGAAAGTGCTGTACTGCTGTTTAAGGTCTCCTGGGCTTTCTCCTCATAGGTGGAGTCCACTGTAGGGCAGTCTTTGGGAGGTGTTGCTCGGGTTCATTCTAAACCCATACCCAAGCAGTCTCATGCATGTATCTTGGCATTATTTTGTTCTCATCCACCAACTGCACCATGTCATTCCAGAGGATACCACAAATCTTTTTCAGACATCAGTGTGAAAGTCATCTGGCCTCCTCAAACATACAGTGTTTCCAATAGCCCAGAGCTAGTGGACTTGCTATAGGGCTAGTGAATTTTGTTCTTAACTTGCCCAGTGGGCAGGTGAAGTTTTTTTAGGGAATTCAAATTACAGAAGAACTGTCCTGCTCATCAAAAAGTTCTTGGGGCAAGTTAGAATGACTTTTGTTGCATGGCCTAGTACATGTTAGCTACAGCTTGCCACTTTGGCAGGCTGTAAACTGACTTTCTTTGCACCCTGCTCCTCAAAGTACTCTGTACAACTCTCCAACCTTCTAAGCCATAATTGTACTGACTTGACATGGCTGTCATAAATATGGGCATTGGTATGTAGACTGTAGGGCTTAGACCTCTAGATATGATACAGTGCAGCAAAACAGGTTGCACTTTTCCAAGGCCTGGTAACTATACATCCTAGAAGAGATGGAAAGGTAAAGAGTGTCACACTAGCCATTTATTCATGCAACTTTGGCTGCTACAAAGTTTGTGTAGATTTATTGTGCAGTCATTGATATAGCCTGTGCCACTGATAAAACTAAACCTCTGGTCTACGAGCTAGGGCCAAAATCCTTGTTATGGGCATTCACTTGTGTAAAATTTGAGTACAGTCTATGGGGGCCTGTTAAAAAAGCCATTGTTGGATTGGCCAATCAGATTGAAAGGAAATTTGAAATGCACTTTCAGTAATTTGATTGTAACATGGATGATACGGAACGTTACAGTGTATGGGTGTATTGGACAACCCTCGTAATTTGTTGAGTCTGTTGATCCAGAACAAGCAACTCAACCCATGTTATCCCAGATGCTAGTGCAGTGTTCTTCTCATGTTACTACTACCACTACTACTGCTACCACCACACCCACCACTACCACTACTATCACTACTATTACTAATAACAGTAATAGTAACAGTAATAGTTATAATAATAATTTTAAAGAACCCTCGCAGAATTTGTTCCCTTCCACTTTATTTTTCTGTTGGCCCAAATTGTAAGTGGTATTTTGTGTGTTTTAAAGACTTTTTAATCTGTAAAAATCTCTTTTTTTCTGAGCTTGCATGCTGGCCAGCATTGCACTTTTTTTGACGAGAAGGTTGTTAAACCAACTCCAAGCCCTTCAGTTTTTATTAAAGTTCAGTTGTATTGTGTAAAGCTTGTGCGCAATTTAAATGTGTTTACTGTGAATACGGCTTAGCTTGCACCACAGAAGAAACTAACCTACGAGCCTGTGCCAACCGTGTAGCAGAAAAGCCATTGTCAATTTACCAATCTGGTTGCAGGAAAATTAGAAGTGCACTCCTGGCTATAACATTGGTCAGGTCCATTGGGGCCCCAGAACAATTAGAGTCTTGGTGCAGTTTTGTAGACATTGCTAACGGAAGTTCGATGTAGATTAGATCTGTGATGAAGGCTAATTTCAGCTTTGACTTGAACATTTTGAAAAAAAGAGGCATCATTTCAGGTTAAGAGACTTGTTTTTACACATTAATTAATGATAATTATTTTTGGAACATTTTCACATCTTTGGTATCAAGAATTTGGTTGATGGAAACATAGCAATAAACATAATTTTGTTCATGGTTCTGTGGTTGGATGTACCTCTCATTTCCTTACAACTTTAGCCTTGTTCCAATAATTTCAGGGTGAAACAGCAAATGAAGTACACAGCTCTTCAAGCAGGAAAGATGTGGTGGAAAGCAGTGGTGAGTACAATTTCTTTAACAGTTTATGACGAACAATGGCAATGATAATTTTTAATGACAGTACGTGACCTAAGGTGGCAGGCATTTAGTAGGCCCTCCCCTGTTTGCCTCTCTTAGGTGTCGTCCGAATGTCCCAGTCAAACTTCTGCTAATGGCCACCTCTCTACCATGGCCACTTTTTTTCATCCCAGCAGACAAAAAATCCATGTATTGACTCTTGTTTAAAACCTCTCTACTGCTACAGTGGCCGCCTCTTTACAATGGCCACTTTCTTCTGTCCCCAAGGTGGTCGTGAGGTTCAACTGCAGTTAAACCTCTTTTTCACTTTAATTTATAAATTCTTTTAATCTGAAAAATGAGCATTGTAACAGCATTTTGTAGCATAGCAGTGTATCCATTGCACTGTTCAGAATAATATGGTTCTACCAAGTGTCAAGGCAAAGGCTTGAACCGTGATTAGACAAGACCTGGGTAGCTAATGGCGAGATCAGAAATTCGCTAACAGCAGCAGCCAGAGATACCTTCTTTGCTGAAATCTGATCTCTCTGAAATTACATATAAAAGAAATAAAACTTATTAAATATAATGATTTTTAAAAGTTTTTAACTTGCAATATCCTGTTGTAACTTGTGAAATACAGTTAACCCTTTGTCTAATACAGACATTAGAGAGATCTAGAATCACATTTACAGCAAATGGCAATTAGTACCTAGTGACCAAGTTTTCCCTTAACTTGCCATTATTTTGTTGTTTATTAAGAAAACAATTTTTTAAGGTAGTTTCATGCCAATTTCATCTAGAACTATTTTGGACAGTTTTTATCTGCAGATTATTGAATTTAAGAAACTGTCAACTTGAATCTAAGGTTCACCGTTTGTCATTGATGTGATTCTAATAATCTCTTAATTGTCAGGGCAGATACTCAGTTTATATCTTAAAATGAGGTCCTCATGAGGTGTCCTATTTAAGGCTGATTAACGTGGTATATCTTTATTGCATGGGATGTGCTTACAATAAGTCCACAGCATCAGTATCATGCATGTCAAACCTACAACTGACTGAGTGCGGTTGTCATGGGTTTCTCATTAAGTGCATCACATACTACTACATTTTACAATGCACTTTAGTCTTCAGAGAGATCTCCATTTTATGGAGGCATTGAAAGTTGACCGAATAGATTGTTCTGAAAGGGTTATTTTTTGAAATTAAAGTAACAAAGTATGTTCTTTACAAATAGGGGTGTCAACACCTGATGTATTTGTCGCATACACTTCTTCACCGCCCAAGAATTCATGCCAGAAAGTTCGTCTTTGCTCATGGTGTAAGAAATCAACTGTGTTGAAAGATTTTACATCCAGTGATGGTGAGAAGGTGGTTTCCTGCAAAGGCTTGTGCTCTGCAACGTGTTTTGAACAAGCTATGAAAAATATCAAGGAGAATGATGTTCATATAACCAACACTCAGGAAAATCTGCGATCTCAAGGGCTACCTGGAACAAACAAAACTGGTGAGTGTTTATCAAAGTCAACCCCCCCCCTCCCCCCCCCCAGAAGGCTTGTTTATCTCAAGGGAAAGGTGGGGGGACTTAAAAGGGAGGAGGAAATTAACTTTGTTCTTCTGAAAAGGGGGCTTATTAGAGAAGGGGGGGCTATAGAGGATTTGTAAAACAGTAAATGATGGCCTGGATAGTAGGTGTCAAAAGGGGTAGGGGACTTGGGAGGAAGGGAGAAAGGGAGGGGGCCGGGGGGTTCCCTCCCTCCCCCTTCCCCTTCCCTTTTTGTGCCTAAGTAACTGAGTGGAGTGCCTATAAACCAGGTAAAGCAGAGAGGTACACTTCCTCTCTAAACAAAGAATGTTTAAGAATTTGTTCATGCTTAGCGTGCGTATATCGAGTTATGGATGCACGTGGGAAGTTTGGAGAGCACGAAAGATGCGTAAGAGTTGCACGAGGCGATAGCCGAGTGCAACTCTAGCTTCTTGAGTGCTCTCCAAACTCCCCAAGTGCATCCATAACTCGATATACGCACAGCTAAAAGCATGAGCAAATTCTTTTATAATGATAGCTGACAAAAATGCTTGCTTTTTGATTAACTGCAAAATTCTCGTAACGCGCGACACAATAACAAACGATTCTACTGGCTGATTACGAACACGCCACAATCGTCTAGTTTGAATGAAAATATTCTTTCTGTAAAAGTGAGAAAGAAAATTTGCTTCTTTATTCGTTAACGATCAATGGAAACTAAGCAGAAACAAAGGTAAAAGAGTCTTAAAGTTCACCTAAAGTTAAAATAATAACATGTTCGTAAGAAGTCGTGGAGTATGGTTTGGATTTGCTGAAAAGATGTTTACGTTTTGCTCGGTGAAATCCAGAAAACATGTTTTTTAGCGAAGACGACTGTCGTCCTTCTTTAAACTTATATTCATTTACGAACATTGGCTGGTCATTACGGCTTCTTGAGAAGACCTGGCAGCAGTTGTTTTTATGAGTAATAATTTATGTCTTCTTGTGTAATTTGTGTTGTTATTGCGAGATAAATCTTCCTGGTTAAGTCGGATTGTACGGAGATAACAAAGTGCATAACAAATTTAAAAACAACAATAAAAACGGAAATTTTGCCTTTAAATGTTGTTGATGAGCAGTTGGTGTCTGTTCTGTTCCCAGTGAATGTCTTTCAGCCAAAATTTGCTGCAGCTCCTCTTCGACAAATTTACGAAACGCTCAACTTGCGAGTTTTTTTTTAATTCGGCTTTATTTTTGCTGCTTGTTGGATCGGGACCGATAGAAAAATTGGGCAGTTCTTCGCTGGTTTCTTCCATATTTTAAAGAGAAGGAAAAGTGCACTGCAGCGTAAAAGACGACAACTTTGCAGCCAGGTAAAAAAAAAAATGCTCACGTCATCTTATTTACGCACGGGCGTCCGTAAATAAAGATTTTGTTCATAGTGGCTCAATAGGACTTATATAGGGCAAGCATGCGCGCTATGTTATAATATTTGTTATACCAGGGTTATGTTATGTACAAGGTTTATGCCTGCTTGTAAGAGTGTAATTATAATACTTGTGTGACTTAACTTTCCTCTGAATCAATCAATCAATCAAAAACTTTATTTCACTTCGAATTTCAAAAGATAGCATCAACTAATGCTAATATCTCCAAAGGAAAAGCAGAAACAAATAGAAAATAAATGACAAAGGTAATTAGAATAAAGTAATACTATATAATTATTACATACAAGTTTAAGATACCGGTAATGTAGAAACAAGAAAATTATTATATACATTGTGACTACAACTGGTGATAAAACTAATTACAAAAGGAGCAGAATTATTTTATTATCAAATCTAAATGTCAATAATGTTCTTCTAGTCCCAGAAACATCCTCGCCAACTGCTCCAATCACTCGGTCAGCTTCAAGGGGATCTGCAAACAAACGTATGTGCCCAATTTAGTTTCTTTGGTAATCAGTAAATCTCATTCCTGCGTTTATGTTTAAGCATTGTTTGTCATTGATTTAAATAAACTGGATCTTTTTTTTAGCCAAGGATGAATCTCCTATTCCACCTAAGATGCCCCCAGCCCAAGGTATGATTTTTTCTGATGTCATCAGCATTATATAGTTTAGCCACATAAGGCATGCATAGGCCTGTAGAAGGCAAGCAATATGTAAAGAAAATATTAGCCATCAATATATGCGAAAGTGCTGGGTGGCAAAAATCGTTAATGAGCCTTACATTTGTAAATTCTTTTGTAAAATTTTGAGTCTTAAAAAGAGATTTTCTCCAAAACTATTTTGGTGTACTGGGCTCAATTTTTCATAGATAACTAATACTGCTATGCAATTTCAATATTCAGAGATGCAGCAGTATTATTTATTAGTCAATTCCAAAATCGCTTATGTCCCCCCAGGGCGTCTGACTTTTTTGAAAAAATTTTCGTCAAATTCCCTGGTATGTTGGCAGTTTAGATGGTCAAATGCCTCACCAGCTAGCACTTCAAAAAGGGTCATATCCCCCGCCCACCAGCGACTATTCAAAACTATTCCAATGCGTCAAACCGTTTATTCAAACGTAGATATCCTACGAACGAAACACAACCAAAATATGGTCCAACAAAATGTGAACGCAGTGCTCATGCTGAATGTGGAAAGAATTGAAAGATCCTTTTGCTTGTGAAGCTGACCACCACAGTCAAATGCGTTACTGGGTGGGCCACATTTTGGGTCAAGTTCCCCACTGTATGGAGCAAAACTCCAGTCAAATGCCTGGGGTTTGCCCAGTGGGGGGAGGGCAGTTTTGGAATTGACTAGTACATTATTTTAATAGCTTAATTACCGAACGATAAGTTTATGTTAATGAGGCAAAAAATGTAAAGAATGGCTGCTAACGTTGGTTTTTTTGCTTTCTTGCATTTCATTTAGCTGGTCCTCGTGGTGTGTTTTCTTGGAATGAGTACCTGGCTGAAACTGGGTCAGTTGCGGCTCGGTGGCACTTTTTTAAACAGGTAGTTGCACTCACACAACTCATTAATTTAGCTAACAGTACTTTTGATAGTGAAATATCTTGTTTCTCAGATACTGATGGTTAATAGAAGTTCTTAAAGGGCCTTGTGGTATAAGGTTGCGTTCTTGTGGCGGGTAAAAACGATGAAAAGTAGAGGGGGACTGGGGAAATTTTTTCCCGCTCCTTTTTACTCGCACTTAGCTCCCCACTAGGGTTCATAAATGTCTTAGAGGGTTCATCATATTCTCGATTCACACTGATAAAACTTGTTTAGGTTCAACAAAACGGTGTCATAGCCATTACCATGGTTTTATGTTAACAGTTCCTATCTAGAATTGTATAAACTGTCTTTCTCTCGCTTTGGGGCTAAGCTGTGGAGTGAGATACCCTGTCACATCTGACATCTCTCTAAGAATAAATTTTAAAAAACTCTGCAAATTACTCTTTGACATTTTGAATACAGAAGATGACTAAATTGATATGTCTACGCCCAAGGTTAGCAAATCAGCCAAAAAATATTTCGAAAAATGAATTCTTTACATACCCGTTTGTACTTTTACAAATTGTTATTTAGTTGTGTTATTAAGTCCTCAACCATATTACGATTTTTATTTCATTTATTTATAAACTGTAAACTTCCCTTAGTTAGCCTTTGTCTTCATTTCTTCTTACGCATGCACTGTCCTGCCACAAATAGCCTTGCTAGCTGTGGGTAGTGCTTCTGTCATTTCATCTGCTTATTTATAAAGTTTTGTTGTTGTTTGTTGCCCAACAGCCCTCCCCTCTGACGAGAGCCTCTGAAGCTCAGTTTACTCAAATTATCTGCAAAACGAGTTTGGTGACTTTTCCCACTTCATAAATTAGCAGTCGTAATCTTACTTTGGCAAATATCAAAATAAAATTGTCACTTACAAATCGCTTTATGTCAGAACAGGGCTTTTACACAGTTGCACTAGATGTGTATTTATATTCTTTCTTAATTTTTTGTTCCAAAAGACCTTATTGGTCTACTTATTTGTTTTATGTCCTTCTTTGCTGTAGTCTTCCACACCTCCTTACAATGGCTTTGAATGTAACATGAAGCTAGAAGTGGCTGATCCACGGATAGTGGATACCATGTGTGTGGCGACAGTTGTGGGGATGTTAGGGCCCAGGATAAGATGTCGATTTGATGGCACAGACAGTGCTAATGATGTCTGGCATTTAGTGGACTCTAAAGAAATCCACCCTGTGGGATGGTGTGAGGGAAACGGAGGACGATTACAACCCCCCGTGGGTAAGTAATGAAAAACGACGGGTGTGCGTAGAAATAACACTAACCACAGGCAGCCCAGACATACTGTATGAATAAATAGAACACTTCTTATTTGGTGAATGTGACCTTCGAATGCAAAACTCGACAAAATGCCGTTTAAAGCGTCCGGGAACAACAAGGAGATGTTCAGTTAAAAGTACATGTATGTAAACTTTCTTTTGTAATATTTTCATTTTTAGGCGGAATTTAGTCCGATACATAAGATCGGAGCAAACAAAGGAAAACAGAGGAAATTTCAGTTGAAAATTAACCAGGACGATTATAAAATAGCCAATAATATAATGGAAATATTAAATATATTTTGATTTCTCTTCAGTCAAATATAGTCAACTCTCCAGCTCCGATGCTCTTTTGTCGATCTATTAATCGTGACATATTATTACCGGTATTGACATACAATACGTCTGGGCTACTTGTGCAGGCTCTAGTTTTAAAGAGTCTATATCACGCTATTTCAGGGGCACCCAACGACTATTTTCGGAAAAATATCTGTTCGGAAGACGATTTGAGATCTAGAATTTTCGCAACATTTGTTGTAAAATTTCTTGCTTGCCTGCCTCTCCTAGGATTTTCGAACATGTAAAAAATGGTATAATTGCCTATTTTTAACGGATTTTTACCCTAAAAAGGTCCCCTAGAATTTTCGGGAGCCCTTTTTCTGGCTGAAAAATTCGAAAAGGTAAGTTTCGATCCCTATAATTTTCGGATCATTAGACTTTCAGCTAGGAAATCCGAACAGATGAAAAATTTTTAGGGGATAAAAATATGCCTTTATCTACCGTTTAAATACTAAAATACGTTTAACAATGCTATTTTTAAGTGGTTTTGAACTATATTCTCGTTGGGTGCCCCTGCTATTTGTTATCTTTTTAAAAAGCTACAGCGTGTCTTCACACCAATTGAATTCAATTCCAAAAATAATGGTCCAGTTTTGTTATTTAAGACTATATGTAGGTGCTGAAACTGTTTCCTGTCGTCTGTTGCTACGGATGGCAAGGATGGATGCGGATTGAAACTTGAAGAATTTGGGCCAACATTTTCATGTTTCAATGCCATTTCTTCATAAATCACCAAACATTTATTATGGTTTGGGGTACCTGACCAAATTTTGTGCGATATCTTCATCACGACTTTTGCAGAAGCGTTGTTTGTATGGGTAAAGGTACTACCGATCATTATTTCTGAAAGGGGGTGGGGGAGGGAGAATCAGAGGGGGAGGGGGGGTCAGGTTTATTTTTTTATATCATATGGGTGGGTCATTACTGAAATATAAAATGAAAGGGGGTGGGTTCCATTTTTTTTATTATATTGAGACCCATAAAGGCAGAAAAATAATAGTCATTTTGAATCTATTACAATGGATTTTTGGCTTTCCTTTTTTCAATAAAGTCAGATTTTTAATCATCAATATCACAAAATAATACATCTATTAAGGCAAAAATAGGAGGACAAACAACAACTACAACCAAAATAAACATGAAGTTCTTATATCAACTGAACAATTATTAAATAGTAATGTCTCTCGTATAAGAACAAATAACCGCAGACCTCATCTCACAGTTTTTTATTGATTTGACTGATCTTGGGACGTAAACGAACCCATTCTGTTGTTCATAAAGACTTGGTGACGTAGACACTCTTAGTGTGGTTAACATGCCTGGTCTTATCCCCCATAAATAGAGGGAAGACCTCAGATAACAGTGACCTCAACCAGGTTGTGGCGTCCAGCGCTTTTAGTGAAAACAAGGGTTTGGATGGGGTGCTCAGTCTCGCGGGCTCATAAACCCTGGTCTCGGTCATTCTTATTTAAAGCTTTTCTCAATAGAGACCTTTAGCGTCGAGGACGAGGAAGAGATTTCGTGAATTGAATTCTCGAAAAATATATTACCCAGAATGCTTCATTGTACGTTTTGTAACCAGAAACGTTAGCACGCTTATTTTTGGTGAGGGATGTTTAGCCCTCTCCCAGTTGAAAATGAGAAAACTTTGATTCTAACCGTTGATAACTTGTTCCCCCCACAATGACATTCTCGCTGGAACTCGTAGTAAATTGACGACGGCTATCACGTTTTCCCACCAAAATGACGTTGATTCATATGTGCGCATTACTTAGTATTGAGAAAATCTCATACTCGTAGTTGTCCACGTTTTAGAATCTAAAGGTCTCTATCGGGTTGGTTCATCGGGGCAAATTCAAAAAATACATAAAGAAACAACGACAACAAAAACACTATGCTGAGAGCTGTAATAATAATTACTTGGGAGCTTAAAGTTACCCCGAAAAAACAACGCAATGATTCATCTTTTTTGTTACAGGTTTTAAACTCGATCCTGGAAAGTACTCTACCTTTCTTGCAAAGACTCTTACCACTGCAAAACTGGCTCCCGTAAGACTCTTTAAAAGAGTAAGTCAGCCTCACTTTATTAATGACGTCGCTTAAACAATTTCAACCTGGGCAATGGTAAGCAGCCTAGGGCTTGTTTTCCTTACTTCGCAAGTACTCCTCTAGGAAAAGTATGCTGATCTGTTGGGTAGTTCTTCTTTCCCCTTATAATCAGAGGGTACTCGTACCAAGTGGTTTACTCGCAAACTCCCTCTTAATGCGATGGAATTGTCAGAGGAACGCAGGTTAGATTAAGTAAAAAAAATGTTCTACACCCAGGGCTCAAAATAAATTTGGAACAATTGTCGGTCGTGTTGAATGGCCAAAGAAATTTTAGCTCGGTCTTGTCTCTCTTCTGACCGGTCGAAATGTTAAAAATAACACTATAATAACTTGACCGTACTAGCCTGGCAAGCAAAAGCATGTCTAGTGAAAAAAGATACTTGTCCTCTTGAAACGTAATTGTGTGAAAGTGTAGTTTTTTTCCTGGCCCCGGTTGTTCAAACAATGGATAGCGCTATCCACCGGATAAATCACTCTCCAGCGGAGAAGTATTAGGGAAACCAATTCCGTTATCCACTGGATAGAGATTTATCCGATGGATATCGTTATCCGCCTTTTGCAACTGGGGCCTCAGTCCTGTTTCAGGCCCAGAAAGCTGTTGCATGTTTATCGTGTCTACAATGAAGATCAAAGTTTCAATAATTTTGAAAATGATACTATGAAACTATCAGTTAACGAAGCAAAATTGACTGATTTGTGGGCTAGGAACTGTGCTTCTATTCAACAAATTTTGACTTTAAAACTTGCCCTCTGGCCCGAAAAGTTTCCGAGCCTTGCGAGAAATGGGGCCCTGGTCGCTTATTCAGTTTACGTGTCCGGTCAAAATGACCAGCAAACCGAAAATTTGTCCAAACAAATGGTCATCTTGGGAGTTGGCCCCATCATTGTCCCGTTGACCGGCCATTATTTTGAGCGCTGACGCCCTGGTCGTTTTTTTAATTTAAATCCTTGTCGTCGAGTCTTGCGTTACCAAGCTTCAGATAAGCCAGAACCTGATTATTAAAGTAAACTGTTTTCTCTTTTGCCAGGAGCCAACATCGCCAAAGGAAAATTTCTTTGAGGTCGGCATGAAATTAGAAGCGCTAGATCCTAAAAACCCACTTCTGATATGTGTAGCGACAGTGGCTGGAGTCGATGGAGATAAAATCCGCGTTGACTTTGATGGATATCTGGGTTCAGATTATTGGTGTAGATATGACTCCAGAGATATCTTTCCTGTTGGATGGTGCTACTACAGTGGTCATCCTTTACAACCACCAGGTAAACAACATCATCAACAACAACAGCAATAATAATAATATTAGTTATATGCAGTGCTTCGCTTTCCATAGTTTCAAGGGGCTGGCGCGTTTTCCCGTTTTTTTTTGGTCGCACGTTGTTCAGTTTCCCGCCCTTTTCATTAGCTGCGCATTATTTTCCGCGCTCCTGTTTTGATTGCATTTCCTGCTTTTTCTTTGGGTGACGAAGTTCGTTTCTCAAGTTTGGCTAGCTAGTTGTTTTCCCATTTTTACAAGCACCATGGTCTCTACACGACGTCTCATCATCGTATTCCTCTATTTATTTATTTCGTTCAGCGTTGCATCAGCTGCACGTTTCCCCGCTTTCTACTGTTTTTCTTGTGTTGTGGCTATTTCATTCCAGTGGTTTGCGGTTTATTCTTTCCCGCGCTTTTTCCTGTCTTTTAAGTTTGCTTACATGCTGTATTTCCGCACCTGCGCTTTTTAACTTTTGCCATGCTTTCTACAGTCGGTAATTGCTCGTTTTGGCGCCTTTTCGTGATATGCTGTACTTCTCTCGTGCTCTCCCGCTCTCTTTTGGGTACACTTTCCCCGACCCTTCCATGAAAACTACGTGTTTCACTGCGAGTATCCAGCACATTTTTTAACACCTGCATCTGCAAATTACCCCTTGAACAATAGGATTTTAGGTGATGTCTACTTGGAGGTAGGAAGATCTTAGTACCAGGAAGATCCTAGAAGGCGGAACAACTTTTCGTTGGGTTCACATGCAGAAATTTTGGTCCGTCTGGGTAACAGCAGAGAAGGAATTAAAGATTAAAGATAACCCACTGAACGACCCGCCGCTATTTTTTTGAGGTTTATCCTTAGGACTAAGATCTTCCTAGCGAACGCGATCCGTTCTTTGGATTAGTATCTTCTTACCTCTCCGCTGGGAAGATCCTAGTACAGTCGAACCTCCACTAACGTCCACCTCTCCATAACACCCGCTTCTTTATAACGGCCATTTTTTTGTGTTCCCAAGGTGGCCGCTGTGGAGAGCTTCGACTGTACTGGGAAAATCCTAGCGCTGGGGAAAATTGCAACTTTAGGTTTCTGGGAAACTGCCCACCTACCCCTCCCCTAAGCCATCATTTTGCCCTATGTGAGAAGTAAGTGTTAACGTTAGCTTAGGGGAGGGGTAGGTGGGCAGTTTCCCAGTAACCTAAATTGATACCAACTTTTTCTTTTATGTAAACTGAATACAGAACTCATATAGCGATGTTCCTGGTGTAGTATCTTCCTCCCTCCATGTAAACAGACCCTTATCCGCCTTAGTAAAGACAACAGTAAAATAAAATGAACTACTGTAATAAACGGCATTAACTTTCGCTGGAATTGTCCCACAGCATTTTCCCACAATCTCAAAACTGGTGCACATTAGACAGTTACATAATAATGTCAGCCCGGTTGATTCTAAGGGGCTGTTTATATGATACCGGAATGACTTTTATTCCGGAATTAGCTTCATTGCAGAGTGAAGTTCATACTGCTTTCACATGATAAAATAGACCGGCTTAGCCTAAAGCGTTCTAACTCTCGTGGTTTTCGCGCCGATCAGATACGCATGCGCCACACGCCCTAGACTACATGATATGCGATTTAGTTCGATCTCAGTTTACATGATACCACAATGAAATTTCGTACGAGAACGAGAATTTCATTCAGATTAAAAACCGGATTGACTTTACAGGAACGAAATTTCGATACAAATATGACCGGGAATGAACTCGTTCAAGAATGAAAGTCATTCCGGTATCATGTGAACAGCCCCTAACAGGATGGCGAAGGAAGATAGTATTTTACTTGTTGAGAGAAAAGCTAGTAACTAATATTATTTCTACGATATAATTTTTTTGTATTCAAGGTAAAACGAAGAAGGCTTTGAAGCATTTAAAGTAAGTAAAATCACCTCTGTTCAGTTTTTGTAATTCAACCTTCTGTGGTGTTCGTTGCTTACGAAAAAACCTTTTTTGTAGTGCCAAAACAAAAGAAAAACTGCCCGAGAAACCCACAAAACCAGAAAAACCAGAAAAGCCTGACAAACAAGAAAAAAAGAAGTCTCAAACTACCTCTCCAGTACAACCGGTACCACCAACAACCAAACCCACCCCCACCCCCACCCCCACGGTCAGTACACCTTCTACTACTCGCCGTGAGTCGCCGTCATCTTACTTGTCTTCAGCCTGCGATGGGGATGACTTGATACTTTCTTACACGGTTCAAGTGTTCATTAACCACGGCTGCTACCCAGGCCCGCACCTGAGCCGAGCGAAAGTGTTGGGACTACCAAGCTGCTTTCGAGGCACTGTGTTAAACGTGGCTAGAGACTGCTTTCAGTCGATTGTAAACGCTGGAATTGAACCTGTGACGGTGTTTGGGATTCTGAAGCCGGGCGCCGGCAAAACAAAGATCACCGTCAGCAACGGCAAGCGCACATTAAGTTGCTTTCTACAGAGCATGGATCGAGTGTCGAGATTTTGGTGCGTGTTGGACAAGTTAGCAGAGAATCTCAAGTGCTGCGAAAACATGTTCAGCGGAGATCGCATCTCTGGAAAATGTCCTAAATGCGGCGGAAGTGGTAAGAGTCTAAGTAATCGTACTTTTCAAGCGTAATATGACGTGTTTTAAGACGGAATTCATCAGGAACTTGAGTAATTTTAATATTCAGTGGACAATAATCTTGTACCAGAATAAATTAAAAAATATCGCATTCTTTTTTACGTTTTTCAAGGGCTAGAGGTGTAATAAATCATCTGTAGTAACACCAAAGAAAATATCTCATGGAAGTCCGAGAAAATGAATGCCAAATTTCACAAGAATTGTGATTACACGGGTAAAATTCTCAAAATTTCATGTGTAAGATGTCATTTTGTGAAATTTGACATTTGTTTTCTCGGGCTCTCATAAGAAATTTTTTTCGGTGTTACTGCAGATGATTTATTACATTTTTAGCCCTTGAAAAACGTAAGAAAGAATGGAATATACTTTAAATTATTCTGGTAAAAGTTTTTTGTCTACTGAAAATCAAAATTACTCGATGTCTTGGTGGATTCCGTCTTAAAGCCCCGTGCAAACGGACAAAACATTGTTAGCGAACAACTCCCAACATTGTTGGATGTTACATGTTGCGTCCGCTTACACACCCTGTGGCATGGTGTTGCGTGTTGTTGGGAGTTGTTGCGCAAAGTTTGAAACCGGTCAAACATTGTTGGGAGTCGTTCCGTCCGTTTGCACGTAGCTTAAAATTGTCCCGGATCGAACCCCGTTACTAAGACACGGAGCGGACATTAGAAGGTGTCCGTATTAAGTGCGGGTCATGTAATTGGATAAAAGAAGAAATAGTTCGTTTCTATGGAAAAAATACTAAGGAAAAACAAGAGAAATCATTACTTAAATTACAAACAACACTCTGCATGACTAATTTGTTGCCAAAAAGTCGGAGAATGGGGTCTAGATTTATCCCGTCTACTGTAACATTGACATGCTGTCATCCGAAGGGTTTTGTACCTCAAGAAAAAGTAGGGCTTATTGCAGCAGACAGTTTACAAAGAAGTGTCCTTATTATTGCGGTTAACTTTCTGGGAGAATTGGTTGATTATACTAGAAAAACGTGTCCGTTTCCCGCATAAACGGTTCAGTTTCCGTATTAAGCGGTTGAATTAGAGAAAAAGTAAGGGCTCTTTCCCCAGGGACAAAGAAAACGGTGGGTCGATATTAAGCGGGTGTCCGTAAAGAGGGGTTCGACTGAAGTCAGCTTGCGTAACAGGCACCGAAAGGGGTTGGGGGAGGGAAATAGAAGGTTTCTCTGTTTCTGTTAGCGTTTTTTCCCTTCCCCTCCCCTCCCGGTTTTACGCCCGCTAAGCAGGCTTTTCTGGTAAAAAACAATGGGTCCGTTTTACACGCTTCATCACCATTGGTTTATTAAAGAGGGGTGCGACTGAACCTCTAACCGCAGTTTGCGGTTAACGGTTCGACGTTCAAACATAATTCGATTTAGATTGGCGGTGGATTAAAGAAGGGATTCTGAATTTATTTTTTAGAAATGAAACAAATATCAATCAGTGAAAATAAAAGAAATTTACGGTAACACTGGGTTATCTAGCAGTAAAGAGCTGTAAATTTTACATTAGTTCTTCTTATAAATTTACGGCCGACATTTTGAATTGAATGGCACGCAATAGGATTTATCAAATTTAGCAGGAATTTTTCTGTTAATGGATAAAGTGCACAAGATTTTCGTACGGTACGTGGGATAAAACAAGAATTATACGCCTTTCAGGTAAATGGCATACGTGAAAAATTTTGAAAACACGTCTTAAACCTCAAACGTGACGCATCACCAGGTTTGATCTAAAACTTTATTAACTTTGCCTATGTGGGGCCGCTACATGTAAATTTGATTGTAGTTTGAATGATTGTTTTCATCAGCGCCAAGACGCAACACTGTTCTGCCAGATTCACCTCCAGCAACCTCACAGGTGAATGCCGCGAGCTCCTTCAAGAGAAGTGCAAACAAGGATCGAGATCTAGAGGAAGTCAAGCGTACGCGGATTACAATTGATGATGACGATGATGGTAATGATGATGACGGTAAGGTTAAATAACATTTGATTGCACATTGTATTTTCTCACATCCTGGACCCTGGCCTCAATCAACAACTCAAGAAGTTCATTTTGTTTATAATGCCGATGATGCGTCCTTATTCGCCATGGAACTTGAGAAATTACCTTAGACTTTCCCACAAGTCGAGCTCAAAATTTTTCTCGAGCGCAAAGCGCGACCTAGAAATTTTCCCACTACCGGAACCGGAAACGAGAAGCGAAGGTCTTTGAGAAAGTCTGAAATTACCTGTGAATGTCAAAATCACAGCCTTGTGTCAAACAATTTGTCTCGCAAGCATGATATCAGACGTTACAAACAACAAAAAAGAACTTTGAAAATTGTTAGGCTAACAAGTTTTCAAAATCCACAATTTCAATCCGCTTGTTCATCCCTTCCTGCTTTTGTGTTTACTGTGTTGTTGATAGCTTCATTAAACCTGTTGAGCAGTTGTTTTTATGTTTCACTTAATTTTATGGCAGTCTTCACTGTTTAAGCCTTTCACTGCCAAATGTAGCCGAAGGCAAATTCCTACCAAATTTCCAAATTTCATTTTCTAAAATTTTGAGAAACAAATAGCATCATGTGAAAGTACAGACAGAGGGCTTTCATTTGAATGGTCACATCTTAGGATTTCGTGTGCATACTCCAAAGTTAGAGTCACCTTACAAAACTCCATCAAAGACTCTGGCAGTGAAAGGGTTAAATTTTGATAAATTTCATGACACAGCTCCTTTAACGTAAAGGTTCTGTTTAGTGTCTCATGACTTGATAGCATATTCCTTCCTCTTCGTTTTTATTATCACCATCATAATCATAAGTAGGTGAAACAATGTCATCCGGGTGAGTGTAGTCCTGAGACGAGAACGAGTACTAGTACGAGACTTAACTTAAAGTTTTTGTGCGTGTTCTAAAAAAAGACACCTTGGAAAAGTTTCATTTTACTTTTTTTTCACTAAAATGGTTAGTACGCTTATTTATACTGAAGGAAGTTCTTAACCCCTCTCCGATAGCAAAATAATAACACTTCTTACATTTGATAACTTGTTCCCGCTACTCCGACATTCTCGCTAAAACTCATAGTAGAATGACGACGGCTACCACATTTTCCCGCCAAAATGACGCTGGTTCACACGTGAGCAATACTCAGTATTGAGAAAATCTCGTACTCGTAGTCGTCGTCGTCTCAGAATCTAAAGCTCTCTATTGTGTTATCTGGGTGGAATCAGACATTTTTTGTTATCTTATCAGATGTGAGTTCTGCAAAAGTCGGGTCCACGTCACCTCCTACAACGTGGTCTGTGGATGAGGTGGTTAAGTTCATAGAGAAATCTGAGCTTGCGGAACATGCGGATATGTTCAAAAAACACGTGAGTAAATTTGCAAGTTATGAATACAAATCTTCCTTTCCACCCCCCCCCCCCCTCTTTCACCTGACCCCACAGCTCTTGGGAACTTTCGGTCTAGCCCTCATGGCAAGCTTGCACCCCGAGAAAGGCTGAAAGTTAGGGTGAGGAAGGTCATCTCATTTCACGACCCTTGCACAGGGATACAACTACTTTTGGGGTAGGTTTAGGCACCCGGTTATGGCGGAATCCCCGAGCCCCTTTAGCCCCGAAATATTGCTGAAATTTTGTTGACATCTTGATGACGGGGGACAGTTTATGCCCTAGCGTCTAAAATCCAAAGTTTGAATCATTTCCAGTGCAAGGAGACTGTTTTGACGTGTCTAAGTCTAATCCCTTCTTTCTGGGATAGGTTTTCTCAACCAGGGATTTATAAAAACCCCTTGGTACTGATTTTCGTCCATGCTCTAGCGCTTTTCGAGTAAGGGCTTTGGTCTGTGACGTCCTAATCATACCCAGTTTTTAATGCACCGAAATGTGGATCGTCTTTGACAACACAACAACTTTGAAAGCCTTACAGTCCTTACAGCCCTATTTCCAGATGTGAGATCCACCCACTCCTTTCTTTCTCAACAGGAAATAGATGGCAAAGCACTGCTTCTTTTAACCCGAGAAATGATAATGTCCTACATGGGCCTCAAGCTTGGACCTGCCATCAAACTGTTGGGCTGTATAGAGGATTTAAAACCCAAGAAATCAAGATGAAACATTTACTTGGATGCTTACATTTCATTCTGCGGAGCGAGCTTGATACCTTCTTTCCAAAAAAACCTTGTGAGAACGTTTTTTCGTGTTGGCCTACGAACGACTGAGTTCATACTTCGCACAATGATACTCACTAAATTTGCTCAGCTATGCTGGCAGACTCAAGGAAAAACATGGTGTACGCTTGACATGTACATAGGTGAAGACAACGTTAGGGATATTTATCTTAGTTTTAATTTGTATATGGACCTTTTAAATACAATTTCAATCATTTCCATACGAAACTACTATATCTAATAAGTGATTTCGCCCTGTGCTTCTACGATGCTGAGCCAAAGCTTTAGAGATCCGAGAGCACAGGAAAGAAACTGTGCGAGACAGATTGCGTTTCTCGCTCATGGCTTCTCCCGATACCGCTCGAATGGAGAGCTTGCTCGGGCTTGATGGAAGCTGACACCCACCACGATACAGAAGTGCTTCTGTCGAAACCGCATGGACGCACAATTTAACGATTTCTATTTCTTTTTCATGACATCAATTTATCACTTCATGATGTAGATAATAAACCGTACTCTCCATAAAACGACTTCCCGTAACCCTTTACTAACTCTTCCTCTCTCCCGCGGGGCTGGGGGAGGGGGTGATGGTTGGGGTGAAGGGCGTGGTGGGGGCTCCCAAATTAAAGTGACGGGGAGGCTTCTCGGAAGATAAAAATTGAAATGAAAAGGCAAACCAATTTGGGCGTGAATCAAGCTATATTTAACCCAAAAGAAGACCATGCTATAGCCTGGAGAACTGGCGATTTTTTTTTACGAGTTTTCCCAGCCGCGAGACGCGCGATGGGGTATAACTTGTGTTCGCACTTGCCTTCGCTGGACCGAAAACGCTTGAACTCTATCAACCCAGTTTCTTCCTTCCTCCTCAGCGCGCAGAGGCCTGTCTTTCGTGTTTACCTCCTCACTTGGTCTCGATGTCGTCGCTCAAATGTCTGAGAGATTTTTAAGCTCATAAAATCGGGTACAGTCGACTCCCGATAATTCGAACCTTCAAGGGATGAAAAAGTTACAATTATATAGAAATGATCTGAAGGGAAATGAAAGGTGCTTCGAGTTAGCGTTTGGTTCGAATTGCCGGGAGTCGACTGTACTACACTTTAAAGTGAAGTCGTCCTTTCCGGATTATGCAACTCGAAGGCACTGCTCGGTCTACATGTGTGGTACAAACAATTTTTTTTCCAAAAACAATCTAATTCCATGACATTAGTTTGATAAGTAATCATTCTGCAAAAAACGAAAATGAAGCACAGAGGGGTAGCGATATGAACCCACAAAAGGTCGGCGGCTCACTTTAGTCTACCCAAACGTACGTTGAGTCCCCCCGAAAATATTCGTTCCTCTCTGGGTCTTTCCAGTCTTTCTCACCGCATGCCCGTCCGCGTCTGTCAGTGTCATTTGCTTGCAAGACCATGTCGTCTGAATGTAGATATTCCTTGGATCTGCCGTTATTTTCTGTTCGCAGGATATTTAACCTATTATGAGTGAACGATTGGTACTTGACTTTCCAATTTAAAAAGCACGTGAACATGTCAATCTTGAATGCAAAATATTTCGCAATTTTATTGCCAGACAGTTGGTGTTTGATTGTCGCAATTTTCATGATTTTGTCAGGAGATAAATCCCGGCACAACTGTATACTTGGCATTACCTACATTGCAACGTCTTAGTATCTCGGAACTCCTGGATAATTCTCCCAGGTTATTCCCGCCCCGGCCGACTTGCATACAGAAAGGTAAGTATCAGAGGTCCTGCCTTTCTTCATTGTCGCCTATGAATCTTTTCAGTAACGCAGTTTACAGCACTGTTATGACTTACATTACAACGTCAGTCCAGTGTCCAGGTAAAAAGCTGAACCTCGCGTAAGCGACCACTTATAATGCAAAGACTGAGTGGTCGCTTACCAGAGGTAGTCGTTTACAAGAATCAAACCAAATGGGTCTCTTCCGAGAACAGGTCCGGGCACATAGATAATTTATTGCATGCAATTTCTAAGTAACGACATGTGTAGGTCCATGTTGTCTCTAATTTCTTCGTATATTCTAAGTAAAATAGTGCACACAGCGAAAATAAGCATCAGAGAATGCGTCAAGTGGTCGCCTACAAGAGCTTAAAAACAATGGAAAATTAAATGTTTAACCGTCAGTCCCCAAAAGTGGTCGCGGTCGCCTACAGGAGGTAGTCGTTTACTCAGGGTCGTAACATGGTATATCCGGGACCCATTGATCCCTATTTTCTTGCCGTTATTTTGATCCCTGAGCCCCATTTTCCCCAAAATTTTGATCCCTGAGCCCTGTTAAAAGAATTGATCCCATCCATGTTTTTACACAAAATTTTGTCTTAGGCAACTTTGTTTATCTCCAAATATAGAATATAGAACATGCTCAAATGGGCTGATGAGAAAAACATTAACTTTAATTTTTAGTGCAAGTTGTAGGTTCTATCAGAACTTTCTATTCTGCTATCCCTGTTGATGTTGTAGTCTTATGTGAATATCCTCTTTCACTCTGTTTGTGTTACAGTGAGGATCACGATCAATTACCAATAGCAAAATACCTGCTTTACATGAAGTAGAAAAATTGAATGATGCAAGCCACAGGTTCTACAGTTTAACAGCTTTTCTGTTTCAAGCCATTAATGGCTTTTCCTGGCTTAATAACCATTGTAGATTGTCAGAGGACATGTCTGGTTGTAGGTCTTCCAGACCTACTCCTTCCAGCTTCAAATCTAATTGGCTCTGTTGTCCACCTGAGCTTGCGCCCCTTCCTCTTCGTCACCACCTGACGCAGGTGAATCATCTAATTCAATTGACCCCTGGAGCAATGCAACTAGGCGTTGCTCTTCAAGGCAGCTCAAACAGAAGTTTTTTCCATCTTTTATTATTTGAACTTTCCCGATGATACACTTAGGTGAATTTCTATCGTCACGGTGCATAGTCTGGTATACAAGGGGACCTTCCTCTGACTGTTCCAGCCGTCTCAAACGCATGTGATCTTCCAGGAATGCTTCACTGTTATGGTGGAAATCTTTTAAAAGAACTTCAAGGAAGAAAGATTGGTATACCTCTTGTAATTGTGCTTGAGAGCAACTACGTCGCCTTTTGAATAGATAATCTCATATTCTTCGGCTGCGTCTTGAACTGTAGTTCGTCCTTCACTCCCTTGAACCTCTTTCAGCAGATCGACTTCTCCATGTACCGACGCATTCCTTCTGAACATACTCAGAGCAAGTGGATTGAAGTGTACCAGCTCTTTCTTTGGTCTTCCCTCTCGTTCGTTGCTGTCATACCGGATTATTTCGCAAAGCTCTGCAATGCCTTCCTTTGTCGCTCCTTCCCTCCGCGCTCGTTTCCTCGTCCACATCCTCCTTAAGGTTTACTCTTGCCGTGCGACTTTCGAAGCCATTCCGGTGCCTTTGGACCCAGCTTTCTCTGTGTGTAATGGCTTTGACGACCGGTGTAAATAAGATATAAACGAGGATTGGTGGAGCCTCTCTATTGATTCTAAAAGGTAGCTGGGCCGCCGCGATACGTAGTCGTTCAGAGCGGGTGTTATCACTCCACTAAAAAATTCAGGGTCCAAATCTAAGGAGGCCGTTCGGGGCCAACCATTACATAAGCCGAGGGTGAATAGCCGAAAGGGCCCAAAAAATTCTTGTAGATCAATATTAGGGCCATTTATACGAGGAAAAATAAGATGCGTCTTACATAAGACGCGTCTTAAATAAGACGCTAACTGTACCATTTATACGAGCATGTCTTATCTAATAATAAAGGATTAAATTAACTGCAAAAACCGTGGACGAAGATCCTGCTAGTTGTAAACGTTGGATCTCTTGAGAAGAGATCAAATGAGCCAAAATATAACAATACACGTTGTTTTAAATCAGCTTTGCTGTAGTCTTCGGACTTCTCGTTCTTATCTAATAAGACGCGTCTTAGCTAAGCCGTGTCTTATTTTACACGAAATGTGCCGTTTATACGGAAAGTTCGCGTCTTATGTAAGACGCGTCTTATTTTTCGTCGTATAATTGGCCCTATTGTCACTTAAGTCTGTAAATTTTGTGCAAAATGAAATAGCCACTGCGAATGAGGTCTGAAAAAATCTTGCATGAAAAAATAACCCATCCCCGACTCAAAAATCAAATAGTGGGCCCCTTACTGGTGGCCCTTCATGCCGAGTGCTAGTATTAAATGCCTGCAGGCTCTGCTACTTGTACCTAGTATGCAACATTCCTTTAACCAATTCAATCGTTTATTTTATAAAAAAAAAAAAAACTAAAGAAAATAAACTATAAAGGTTTTGTTACTTTTATTTCACCGAGGTAAGTCTTTGGTGTTCCACTTATTTTCACTACTTCTACACTGTAATTTGAGACTGTTTATCATACAAGCTAGCGTTATCAGTGATACAGTAATGATATAGTAGTGATATAGCCTGAGTATCAGGCGTTTCTGGGGAAAAGGGGAAAGATGGAAGCGAAAGAGGGAGAGAGGTGAACTCCCCCATCCCCCATAGGAAGGCCTGATACTCAGGCTAGTAGTGATACAGTCCTTTACTTTCCCGGCCCAATACTAGTACTGGTAGGTGAACCGATCTCGGTTTCCAATTAGAGCAGGTTTATTAAATTGCGAGAAAGCACTTATTTTGCAACATTTTAAGCGCCCGAATTCATTGTACTTTTGTATTGTACTTTTGACGTCCATTCTAATTATTTATTTAAGTACTTTTAAGAGTTAAGTTACTGGTCAAAAAATACGAACCTCGATTTATAGTCGCCTTGTGACTTGCCTTGAGGCGATGAGGCAATCGGCACTTATACAGTAAATTCCGCTTTCAATGAATCGGTTTGTCTATTGTCCTGGCGGTATTGTTATGTTTGATCAGCCGAAAAACTCTATGCTTGGACCCTTGCCGGTTGCCAGGAGTAAATCAGGCAAGGAAGTAATTACGTACCTTTCTCTGTCACAGGATTTCTTTTTGTCCTTTTTCTTCTTCCCCATTTCTCGCAAAAAAAGATATGTATAAATCGCTTTCTCT